GCTCCTGGACTGAGATTGACAGCTAATAACAGCCTGGTAATTACAGGAAAACATCAGATTGCAAGGCCAGAGTGTCTTGAAACACCTGAAGCCATTTAATATATCTGTTTGCTCCAGACCAACAGGTTCCCTCCCCCAGCGCAAGGCCAGTGTCATTACTGAGCTAATGGGCATCACATTCTGAGGCACCTTTCCCCCTGCCGAATAAATCAGCGTTTTAAGAAGGGAAGCCACAGGGCTGCTGGCTGCAACTGTGTGCAAGGACATCGCCGGGTATTTTAGGTGTCAGCTCTAATTCGGCTTGGCCTGGCCTCTTCTCTTAAGAAACGATCCCGAGGCATCGCTGGGTCACAGGAGAGAATTCTGCCTGCTCTTGCTCCTCCAGCTGTGACAAAAATCAGACCTTGATTTCTTAGCTTGCTTCCTCAAGTAGGAATTGTTCCTCCTGTCACCTCTGTGTGAAGGAGTTAGCCATGATAGAAGTTGTCATGCTCCCCTGTCCCGTGTGTGTGTGTGTGTGTGTGTGTGTGTGTGTGTGTGTGTGTGCGTATGTGCATTTTATGGGATGTTTTATGTTGAGAAAGGGGCCAGGAATGTGATAGAAGGATTAGTCTAAATTCTCTAACACCATCCGGGGCCCCCTGAAGGGTGCACGCCTTTTCCTGGGTTCTAGGGCCATAGGAAATGCTTGCAAAGTGACAGACTGCAAGGAGACAGCAGAAATATAATGAGTTGCACACGTATGTACACACACATGTTCCTCTGGAAAGCCTGATGGCCACCTGCCTCCCACAAGCTCCCGGGCACCTTGCTTACCCCCTGTGTGAGGTGGTAGAAGGTGAGCTGCAGCTCCGGGTCTCTGAGGACTCATTCTCCGGGAACACCTGATGTGCTGTGGATTTTTCTGGGCATTTTTCACCCGATGCCAGCTCTAATGACCTTAGCATCAAGCTCTTACTGGGGATTAATAACTGGCTGGGCTTAATGGCCCTTACTGCGTCCTGGGACATTATTCCAGCCAGCCATTAATTTCGGGCAGTGCCCTGAGCTCTAGCCATGATGACGCCACTGTCCTCTCCCGTGAAGACAGGTGTCTTCGCCCAGTCCCCTTCCTACTGTACGTCAGAACCAAGACACTCACTGGTGAGTTGCTGGTTGGGCACCTTTATACCTTCTGCTCCTGTGCATTTACAGGACAGAGAAAATGAGAAGCTGGCACTCTCTCACTCAGCCGTCACTTTCTCTAGTCAGCATCCAGCCCAGCTTGACCTAGACTCACTCTGTAGCCGAGGACGCCCTTGAACTTTTCTCTATAGCCCAAGTGAAGACATTACTGACAGGCACAGCCATGCTGAGTGCTTTATCTGGTGCTGAGGATTTCGTGCAGGGCTGTGTGTGTCCTGTACAATCGCTTCATCTCAGCTGCTTCCCAGACCGGTTAAACGCTTTTTAAAGATCAGGATGGGAGACAGCCGAGATGGGAGTGACTTGATGTGGGTGGCCGTACTGTCTACAAAACCACACAGCTGCGGAGCAAATGGACAGAGGATCTTGGGGGCTAAATATCGTGAGGAAGATCCAGACAAGCTTTCTCTCTAGGTAAAAGCTCCATTCAGAGCCCCCGTCCCCACCTCCATCATCTGCAGCACTTTGTCTCCCAAGCAGAACCCAAAGTTGGTCTTCCCATGCTCTGCCTAGCGGCCTGTCCACCCCACATCCCATTACACAGACACCGCACCAGGAACCAACTCAGCACCTGTGCCTGCTCCGCCCAACTCAGTCAGACGCTTAGGACTGTAATGTGCTGAGAGACGGAAGAGCACAGCTCCCTCAGGAAGAAAGAGGGTCGTGCTTCCAAGACATCATTGGTCCTTCCGAATGCAGGAACCAGACTCCGTCTCCTCTTTGGAAGTGGTCCCACCTTCTGTACACGGTCTTCTCAACTGCTGGAAGTATAACGTCACATGTAGAAGACCAGCGCTGCTCTTACTGGCTCCTCAGCAATGGACACAGAAGGCAGAACTCGGACTTCCCTCGTTGCACCATGCAGCACATGAACTCAGTTTGAAGAGGGGGTGTTAGTGCCGGCCAGGAGCTGGTGGGCAGGGGAGAAAAAGGACAGCTGTCTGGGTTTGGTCAACACCTGGTGGGTTCTGGTTGTGTCCGGCGATCACAGAGGATATGCAAGGCAGGTCTGTCCCGAAGCCTTCTCCGTCCCTGAAAAGATCTTCTGTAGGGAGATGAAAATAAGACCAAGGTCCTTGGAGTGCCCCTGGGATGACTGGTGTTTCAGCTGTCAGTCGGCCTCAGCTGTGAGGAGTTAACAGAATAATTACAGGGAAAATGAGCTGCTGGGACCCTCTTCGGGGCCCCCAGTCACAGTCAATAAAGTGGCTGGAAATTCAAAACCAGCATGGAAAGTTCAGCCGATGTGGACTGAGGGTCCACTGAAGTGAACTTTGACGTAACCTGACGGAGTGCTGGATGGGCTGCCTCCAGACAAGGTGTTGTCAGGGAGACCCCTGAAGCCCTTGAAGCAATATGAGCAAGTGACAGTGAGGTTGGCTGCCCCAGAACCAGACGGTCAGACCTTATTCCTGAAGACACCCATGTTTTCATTGGCGAATGTAGAAAGATCCATCTGGAACTGGGCCCGAAGCATCCGCTCTGCTGGAGAGCCCTCGTATTGACGGAAGGTTCAGGCCACCAGGGAGAATCATCTTACTTAGCTGTCCTCTGCAATGCTATAGTGACCATTCAGACAAGATGTGCCACTGATTCAGTAGTGACAAGGTCGTTATGGGGATCACCAGCCAATTTCTGATTGGATCTGGGCCCACACCATGGAGCCAGAGGAAGGATTAGCATTGTGGGTCCCTCTCTGCCACCCATGATGTGGGGTTACATCACAGAGCTAACAGCAGCTCTGAGACGATGAACAGTCCACACCCAGCAGTGGAGGAAGGGAAGCTCTCAAGGCCCCTGCTCTCTTGAGGATCTGTAGGGAGTTAATTATTTAATTATTGAGGGCAGAAAAGACATTTTTCTCAGTGGTGTAGCTACCTGGTTAAGTGCCCAGGCTCCTGTAAGCAACCCTGAAGAAACTCTTTTCTCTCTCTCTCTCTCTCTCTCTCTCTCTCTCTCTCTCTCTCACACACACACACACACACACACACACACACACACACACACACGTAGAAAGGTTAGGAAGAGTAAAGAATCAGTGGAAAGGAGGCAAAAGAAGCTAATTTTAGGGCTGATATTATTAAGTATACATTATATACATGTATGAAAATTTCATAGTGAAACCTACTATTACATATGATTAATACATGCTAATAAAAAACATAAAGGTAAAAAAGCCAATAAAGTAACCTAATGAAGAAAATGTTCTGAGTTGTATGGTTCCTCGGGGCATATGAAGTATTCATTAAAGGTCCTCAAATGAATGTCAGAGTGAAGAAATGGGTGCAGGAACCAGCATCACAGGGCTACAACTACCTAACTCATTCCGTTTGGTCTTAAAAAATGTAAGGAGGTTAGTGAGCTTGTTCTGAGATCAGACACAGACTCCATCTCCTGACTCCCCCACCCCACCCAGCCCCAGTCTGAACAGCCCCTCTACCTGCAGAAGTTCCTCATTTCCATAGGACAGTCCAGGGACCTTTCCACCAATGGCGATTCTTCGCTAAGAACACTCGCTTTCCCAGGACTAAGGGGTTTCCCAAAATGCAGGATTTCCAACTCTCACGCCCAGACAAGCTGACGACACTGGGTCGGTCACTGCAGTGTTAGGGTCCATTCCGTATGTCTCCTTCCCCACTGCCATCAGCCCTTAGACGTCAAGTCAAGTCCTCTGCCTCCCCATGCCTACTGTCTTTTCTTCAGGGAAGCTGTTTTAGTGCTGGTGGTCAACACTGAAGACCTCTTTCTACCTCTGTGATTTCCTCCTTCTTAAAAACATCTCTCCGGTTGGTTTCCACCGCCTGCTCCATTGCTGACTGTCCACCTGCCTTTTTGGATTTTTTTTCCAAGCGCAGTAGTCCCTTATCCCAGGACCCAGAGGCGCTTGTCTCAAAATAAATAAACATCCTATTTGCCATTTTCTTTTTCTTTTGAACTTCCCGACTTTGGGCTCAGGCTCTAATCTCATTGTCTTCTTAGAACACGGAAGAGATCATGCCCATTAAACATGGGCAGGAGATGTTTAATTTGTTGGCTCTTAGGTGTTCAGAAAGGAAGTCACTGGCTCCAGATACTCGACTGAGCACTGTCGGGCCGTGGCCCCTGGCTGGCTTTCAACGGAGGCCATCGTGGGGTGTGTTTGCAGGAAAGAACCTAAGCTCTACAGAGTCAGGTGCGAGGCCGAGGCTGATAAATGCTTAGTGAGACTTTATTCACATCAGCGAAAACGGGCTAGGGCGGTGTCTGCCCTCCTCCAAACCTTAAAACAAGATCAAATAGTCAGTTCTCCATGTCAAAATGACAGCATTGAATCTTCATGTCATCACCATCTGATTCTTAAGTGGCATTTTGTTGAGGGTCATGCGTCCACAGCATCCGAGAGCCGTGATAAATGTTTAGCTTTGCAACAGGATGGAGAAAGGCGCCAAACCCGAGCCACAGCAATTTGTGGAAGACTCTTCGCTTTGACTCGGGGCCAACTTTGGATTTAGAAAGGTGTAGTTCTGAAAGTATGACTTCTTCCCGTCACCAGTGGCCACCTTACCAGGTCACATGTTCACACAGGGATCTAAGCCTTGAGCCAGTGACAGACAGATCAACACCACCCTTCTGCCTTTCCGCTGCAGTTTAGAAGGAAGTGCAAGGATTCATGCAGCTGCAATGGGCCCAGATATGATCTGCCACAAGGGGGTAGGGAGGATGAGGGGTGAATAAAATAAGGGAGGAGACATCTGAAGACAGGGATGTAACCTGGTGGTGCCAAGAAAGGCGATTCCTCTGCCTGACCCCATCTTTCTCCTCCCTCTGCCTTGCAGCCCCTGAAAATGCACTGTACCGACTGCGCCCTGGTAACCAGCTCAGGGCACCTGCTGCACAGTCAGCAGGGCCCCCAGATCGATCGGACAGAGTGTGTTATCCGCATGAACGACGCCCCCACCCGAGGCTACGGGCTCGATGTGGGCAACCGCACCAGCCTGCGGGTCATCGCACACTCCAGCATCCAGAGGATCCTCCGCAACCGCCATGACCTGCTCAATGTGAGCCAGGGCACGGTGTTCATCTTCTGGGGCCCCAGCAGCTACATGCGGCGGGATGGCAAGGGCCAGGTGTACAACAACCTGCAGCTCCTCAGTCAGGTGCTGCCCCGGCTGAAGGCCTTCATGATCACACGCCACAAGATGCTGCAGTTTGATGAGCTCTTCAAGCAGGAGACCGGCAAAGACAGGTACGGGGCTCAGGACGGAGGGAGGCAGGGGTAGTGAGGATGTGTGTTGGGGACAGGTACGGGGCTCAGGACGGAGGGAGGCAGGGGTAGAGAGGATTGCGTTGGAGACAGGTACGGGGCTCAGTACAGAGGGAGGCAGGGGTAGTGAGGATGTGTGTTGGGGACAGATTCACTAAAAGTCAAGCTCTGGCTGAGGGTCTGTGTTGTGAGCCTCGTATTCATGTCATCAACCTCACTGGGGCCCACATGTTGGGTCTCCCTAGTAACAGACTGTTCCAGCTGAGTGTACCATGCAGAACGACACGGCGCACAGTGACAATCACTGAGTAATTTATGACCAGGTCCTTATTTTAGAAAAAAAAAAAGGCTAAGTGGTCCCTGGCCCACATTCAGAAAAAGCAGGACACAGTAGTTTCATCTCTGGAAGTGAGCAGTGCAGGACTCAGTGTACAAAGTGCTCGCTGCACTAGAATGAGAACCTGAGTGTGAATCCCCTATATCCACACAAAAAAAAATGGGGTGTGGAGGGCATAGTAGGTCATGCTTAGAATCCCAGCACTGGAAGACAGGTAAATGACTGGGGCCTGGTGTTAGCAACCATAGCCTACTTGATGAATTCCAGACCAGGGAGACACACAAGACAAAGTGGACAGCCCCTGAAGAAAGATAGGTTGACCTCTGGAGTTCACAAACATTCACACACACACACACACACACACACACACACACACACACACAGAGAGAGAGAGAGAGAGAGAGAGAGAGAGAGAGAGAGAGAGAGAGAGAGAGGTGAGACTGTGAGATTATTTTTCTCTTTCAAAGACGCACAACCATGCTGTAAACTGTTATTCACTGAAAATCCACGACTCACTTAACACTGCATCTTGCCTCTGCCTCTGGAGAGACTCAAAGATAAGATGGCACCCTGCAAACCCATAGCCTTAGACATTTACCAAGCAGTGACAGGAAGAAAGTGGAGCTGTAACTTGTACGGCAGGAGACAAACCGTGGTTCATGGCAATGCTTTCCAAAGTGCTCATTAAGACTAGATAATAGAACCAGGTGGTGGTGGTGCACGCCTTAAACCCAGCACTCTATGCAGAGGCAGGTGGAGCTCTGTGAGTTTGAGGCCAGCCTGGACTGCAGAGTGACCCAGCAACAGGAGAGACAGTCCTGCATGTTAAAAAGTTCTTCAACCAAGAACATATTTTATAAAAAAAAATGGACAAGCAAATTTTACAATTAAAGGTTGCTGCTTAGAAATTTCAAAAATAAGCTTAAACTGTCTGTTCCATAGAAAATGCATTCTCTTTTTGTTTAACAATTGTTCATTAAATTTAAGTCTTCCTACAGCCCTGGTACAGGGTTCATGAGGATAACTGCCCATGGCTGGTTCCTTAAGGGACTACATGCTGTGGGTAGCTTGGAGACTGTACTACCTCACCTTTTGATCACTTGGGACCCCCAAGGAACTTATCCTACCCTTCCCTAAAGCCTGACCAGCGAAAACCCGCTTAGTAAGTACATCTATGTTGGTCCCGACCATAAGAAGTCTTTGCAAGGGCTGGAGAGATAGCTCAGCGGTTAAGAGTACTGCCTGCTGTTCCAGAGGTTCTGAGTTCAATTCCAGTAACCACATGATGGCTCACAACCATCTGTAGTAAGATCTGGTGCCCTCTTCTGGCCTTTGCAGCCGAGCTCTCTGGCTTCTTTCTGCAGAAGCAGCTCAGTTAGTACTCACCCTACCCCGGTTCGTGGAGTCTCACCTGTGACCCTGTAGCCCACCAAAGCACACGGATCATTCCGAAGGAGCTGTGTCTCTTAGCTCAGGAGCCTGTCTTTTAAAAGACAGCCTTATATTGATTCACTCTTCTTTTATGTTCTTAGTCCTAAACTGGGAGACAGAAAAGAAAAATAAAAAACCTTCCAGAATAGATTCCCATTCTACTGAAACCCAGAGCATTTGGGTTAAAAAGTATTCTTTCCCTTTATGCTAAAAAAAATCCAACAGAACAGGAGTGTATGTTGAAGAGGCATCAAGAGTTTAATTTCTAAGCAATCCAAACTCATCACTGGGATATCAGTCCAGGCTAAAATCTTTTTAAGCAATGGGCCAAGTCGGTAGACTTTGATTTATAGGAAATGTTTCCCTTAAAAGTGGAGAGGAGAATGACTCATGGACAATTTGCAATTAAGAAGCACAGCAGATGACAGAGATGGCCAAATCGTGCTCTTTGATAGTAGAGAGTAACTACACTTGAAAATAACTTTATAATTGAATAAGGGCACATTAGGAAAATATGATTCAGAACCAATATTATAGTAATTACATAAAGGAAGCATAAATGAAATAACTGCAGGAAGAATATTTCCGTTGAGATTATAAATGAGATTCTGGTGGAGCAGAAAGGCCTTTAATTGTAATTTAGTGAGCACTATAGCATTATCTGCTCAGTGTGTTACTTCATCATATAAAAGAATATCTGCTAATTTTCACTAATAAGCACATGACAGCTCTTCATATTCCTTCATTACAGCTGATTAGCTGTAAAAACAGTAGATATTCCTTTGTTGGAGAAAAAAAAAGTTCAGACTCTTTCAGGAAGACAGAAGAAAGCAGCTGAGTTTCTACGACGCGTGATCCCAAGCTATTATTTGGGAAGTCTGGAGAATTTTAAGTGGTACTTAAAAAGAGCCTCGACTTTGCCTTCTTCCCATGCCTTGTGGCCCCACATCCTCCTGCATTTGAGGCTATGGTTTGTGTTCTATCCCGAATCAGAGGGACGCTTCCAGGGGGTTTCTGCTCCTAGGAAATCCCTGGGAATGTAAAAGCAGGAGATATGACCATGATCATTTGGTGCCCAGATCTCTCAGGGACCTCTGGGATAAGAGTAAGAGTCATTTTCTTCCTGGCCTCCACATTTCCTGGTTAGTAATCCCTCAGACTAGTCTGGGAAGAACTGCCCAGGACATGGACGGCAGGGATGTGAGCATGGGCTCTCACTGAAACCAAGGCTTTTGCTCCTCTTCCCTTTCTGCTTCCTAAAGCCTATGAATCAACATCCCTGGTGAGAGGGAAGGGTTGGATTCATGCCTCCAGAAACTGGAAGCGCCGCCCTGGCTTCTGCTGTCCCTCCTCGATCAGCCCCAGCAGCAGAGGGTGAGGAGGGCTCTCTTCGTGGGTACCATACAGTGCTGAAGGGATCTCCATGTGTCAGGACACCCCACTTGGACCCTTAGTCCTCAAATAGACAGAGAATGGAACACCCCATACCTACTTTGCAGAAAAGACAGCAGGGCTCAGAGGTCAACAGCCACTGCCTCAGGTCATCCAGCCGAGTACGAGAGAAGCAGGAGACAGTCAGGTTCACGTTATCCTCACCTGTAGGGGCTTAAACAAGTCTGGGCAGGAGGCAGAAGAGTGGAGGAAAACACGTTAAAGGCTTAGGAACTCAAAATTGAAACTGTAAGCCAAACATGCCTTAAGGATTAAGAACTTGGAATTGAAAATGTAAGCCACCCATGTCCACCAAGCACTTTACAAGGCAAAAGCATTCTTTAAAGTATTTTCCTGTCTCTGCATGAAGGGACATAAAACAAACCCATTAGCAGTCTCCCTTCTCCGTGTGCGGACCTCAACAGTACACTCAGAAAGCCCTTTCTGCAGCTCTGCCATTCCCCTCACATGCAGCAGTGTGGCTGGGCAAAGCCAGACAGTCTGACCTTGGGGATAAGGTGTTTGGAGCTGGCTAATGAGGCATGCCATGGCATTGAAGAAAGAACGGCGGCAGTCCCCAAAGAACGGACATTAACATCCACAGCGGTGGAGCATGCAGACCAGCATGTCGTTCTCAGGCTCAAGTTAGACCTTGGTGCTGTGTCTCCGCAGGTCTCCTCAGGCTAGGCAAGTTGTCCAGCCTCCACTCAGATGTCTGAATAGACATGTTAATGATGGCAAAATGCAGACTGATTTTCTAAAACTTGTGGATTTGGACTTAGACATTTTCAGAAGGCTTTGAGTGTCCTTAGGTAAAGTAGATGTTTTATTAGTTGTAAACATCCCCCTGGATCTCTTCCTCCACTTTTCCAAAATGCATGTGCTCCTCCTGAGAAACGACATTTAGTTACGATGCTGGTGTTCTTATTGTGCGTGGGGACAACCTCTTATGGATGGGTGGACAAATACATATATACGTACATGATAATGTTTGATAGACAGATGACAGATTAATGAGTGATAGATGATGATAGGCAGATGACAGAATGAAAGATAGAGTGATGTTAGGTAATAAATGATGGTGGTAAATATTAATAGAGGATAGATAAATGTTAGATACATACATATATAGATGATAGATAATTGGCTATATGAAAAGATAGAGAGATAGCAAGATCTTATGCTTATTCTTAACGATGTTGCTCATTATCTAGCTTGTTAAGAGCACAAGGAGAGTTCCTAGTCAAGTATTCTAACTAATAACAAATTGCCACATGAATATTATCATCTCCCAGTTGAGTTATGACGACACTCACCTAAACATTCCAACAATGATCATTATCTTTAATGATGTAGAAACCCCTTAAGCATCAACATCATCTATGATTGTGCTATAACAGATTTCAGTAGCAAAACTCCAGATGTTTATCAAATGGGAGGGAGTGAGAGAAGGAGCGTGTGTGCGTGTGTGCGTGTGTGCTTGTGTGTGTGCATGTGAGTGTGTGTGTGGTGTGTGTGCATGTGTGTGTATGTGCATGCATGTGCAGAGTGTGTGTGTGATGTGTGTGCATGTGCGTGCCTGTGCATGTAAATGTGTGTGCATGTGAATGTGAGTGTGTGTGATATGTGTGTGCATGTGAATGTGTGTGTGGTGTGTGTGATATGTGTGTATGTGCGTGCATGTGGATATGAATGTGTGTGTGCATGTGAGTGTGTGTGTGTGTGTGTGTGGTGTGCATGTGTGTTAGGTTTGGGGGTGATCTTTTCATAGTCAGCCTTACTCCAGAAAGGCTCCTGCATGTTTATGGACCTGGGACTGCTGCAGCAGAGTGTAGACTTCACCGTTGTTCCTTCCAGGAAGATCTCCAACACTTGGCTGAGCACCGGCTGGTTCACCATGACAATCGCCCTGGAGCTCTGTGACAGGATCGATGTTTATGGCATGGTGCCCCCGGACTTCTGCAGGTAGGACTGATTCTGCAAGCATTCTTCGTCAGTAGTGTCATGCAGGGCTTACAAAGAATCTGGTTCTGAGCATCAAGCACAAAATGCGTCTAAGTCATCTTCTCCAGGCAGCTAATTAGCAAGTCCCAAGTTCAGGCACTAGAAACCGCATTTAATTACGTGATATAAAATACTGAAAGTTTTTGTTTGTATTCCTGGAGAATTAATCCATCTTATGGCCTTCACTTGTCCTCTGAATATTTATCAGCCAAAAGCAATGCAATAATTGGTGTAATATTAATGATGAACAGGCATTAAGAAATATGAGTTTCTTTTTCATTTTTAAGAGTTGCAGTAATTTCTAAATGAATTCATGGGGGAAATTCCTTGGATGGAGAGACTTGTTTTCTGAAATTAATATATTCCTCCGAGTCTCTTTTGCTTACCACATTCTAGCCTTGGTTTATGCACATAGAGTCAAAATCACAGGCACGATTACGCAGATCTATCGCTTTAAGGGCAGTGAGCATGCATCTCTGCTGCTTGAAGCCTGAAGTCCCTTCCTGACCTGTGTCCAGACAAAGAAGCACTGAGCACTATTTAAGGGCTTGGGTGATGGAAGGTAGTCTACTTGAAAACGCAGGTGTAATGTGAGCACTGAGGCCAATCAATTCTGAAAGTGCCTTAGTTTTCAGGATGCCCTAATCTTCAAATGGGCAAACCTATGCAAACCTATATTATTTATACACATTAAGCAAATATATGCTTGCCTATCTTTTCATTACTTTAAACCTAAAAATGCCTCAAAGGTCATGGGTCTTCTGGCAAAAAATTATACTTTGAATACATGCAGCAAGATTGAGGAATGAGGAAAAGTACTTAGTCGTATCTCTGTTAGCCTTGTCTCTCCTCCTAAAACATGCCACACGCTGGGTAGTGTACAAAGATTAAGAGTTTATTCAACTCGGGGTTCTAGCGGCTGGCCTGTTCAAGACAGAGGTTTGTGATGGGTGACGGCCAGGACGTAACGCCGTGTGAAGGTTAATCTCTGTCAAGATGACCGAGGGGGTTGAAGACTTCTCTGAGTATGTCTTTGAGGGTATTTCCTGAGAGGATTAACTGAAGAGGACAGAGCAAGCCCATGGACTGCGGTCCAGGTAGATAAAAGGAAGCCACCAGAGCCCGAGCATTCCTACAGGATAGGAGCTGTTCTTTTCTGGTACATCCTCCTCGCCATGATGGCCAAACCTTCTGAATCCAGGAACTGAGATAAATCTTTCCTCCTTTAAGTATTCCAGTCAGGTGCTGTGGTCATAGTGACGCAAAACCAGACAATAAACATTACAAGAGGGGCATAGACAAGAGACAGAAAGCGGCTCTTGTAAAAAGACCCACTTCAAGACCATCCAAGGATCCAAAATTCTGTCATTTGTTCAGAAGGACAGCGCCCTTGTGACCAGACCCAGCCTCGTCATAAGTATCCTCCCTGGTCTTTCCTCTTGCTTTCTAGAAGGTACAGGGTCTCCCTATGTAACTCAGTCTGGTCTCAAACTCCCCATACTCCTGCCTCAGCTTCCTGAGTACTGGGATTATAGTTATGCACCCTCATGCCTGGTGACCCTCCCCCCAGACCCTCAAATGTAACAATTAAACTCCAAGGTTCACTGCGGAGTCTGCATTCAAGCCGTAGCATGTCTGTTACCACGGTGCCACATTTTCCTTACTAACACAGCAATCCAGCACAATGGGCTCCTTGTTGATATGTAAGAGTCAGTCACAGAAGAGAAGAAAAGGCACGGACAGAGAAACCTTGGGCATGCAGGCACCCCACACCAGGTCCAGATTGCAAGGTCCAAGCCCAGCATGGATGAGCCTAAAGCAATGCTGAGCAAGTCACCTCATTGCCCTGTGTCTCAGCCTCCTCGACTGTGGATGTGGGTGCATTGATAATAGAACCCACCACAGAGTGTCATGGCTGGAGTAAGTAAACCAGTGCATGCCAGCTGTCTGGAAGGATGCCTTGCGAGGCACGCTAGCTTGGGTCCTTATCCAGCTCCTGATCATTGACGTCATTGGCATTGTTTCTCTGTTTAACTGTTGAGGTGCAAGAAACAGGTAGAACGGCATAGCAAAGCAAGCCGGCTCCTCCAGCCAACAGTCTAACAAAAGATATGCAAGGTGCCACTGTCAAAGCTGATATCATCATGTAATATCACCATTAGGATGCCAGGAAGAAAAAGCATGAATAAATTAAAATGTTAATGGCTTCAAGTGTTCAAGGAACTATATCATTTATTATGGAAAACAAACGAAAGGCAAGTTAACCTGTCATTTCTCTTACGCCCAGGCAGTTTCTCATGACATCATGTTCGCTAGGATGGAGCCAATCTATAGAATGATATTAACAAGGGAATTAAGATAATGCCAACAAGCCATGTGTTGCCTCCAGCTCTGGACTTCGGCTCCTCAGCTGTCACTGAAAAGGTTTGGCCGTTGTCTGCCCAAGCTGCTCTGAGCAAAGACTTTTCAGAAGCGTCCTGCCCAGGTTATGTCTCAGAGAGTGGAGTGTCAGGTGGTACCAGTGGGCAGGGTTGGGTGCTCCTGGGAGCCTCTCCTCTTAGTCATAGCTGTTGAGGGAAGTGTAGGAAGGTGTCTTCCCATTGCTGTGGCAAAATCCCAATGACAGCAACCTAAGCAAGCAAGGGTTATCTTAGCTCACAGTTTGAAGGCACAGCATATGCTGGCAGGGAGTCATGGAGACAGGAGCCTGTGGCATCCAGTCACCTGTATCCACCAGAAGTAGAGATGGACACAGGGGCTCAGTTCAGGGACCAACCTGTAGGACGATGCCAACCACATTCAGGGTGTGTCTTCCCATCACAACAAACCAATCTCAAAACTTTCTCACCGATAAGCCAAGAGGTCTGTCTGCTAGGGTTCATCTATACCCTTTCAAGTTAGTCATTAGTACTAGCCACCACAATGAGAAGACAGAGGAAGACACAGACTCATGCCTATCTCCACCCTTTAATGTCAAGATATGTGGACTGAACGGCAAGGACCCAGTTCCCAACTGTGTGAAATTGAGCCTGGCTTCCCTTCTGTAAACTGGACAGGAGACAATAACAACCAAACAAGCTGGCTGAGGAGAAAATGATAGTGAGGACAGCACCCTGCATACAGTGCTGAGGAAAGATGATCATATAGCATTAATCTTGCCGATAAGATTATGATGTAAGATATACAGGTTGTTGATATTCTCCCAGGCATTATTTTGCAGTTACCTTCAAAGATATCAAGATTTTTGGTGGAAGAGTGACAGAATAGGACTCAGCTCTGTTATCTCAGCTGCTCACTCGCCTAACCCACATCAGACTATGAGCATGGGACGTCCCTTGCATGTGACTATGAAATGGGATTTTCTGCAGTCCTCGTCTAAGGATCAAATGCCTTTTGGAAATGATATCTTCCTCAGAGAATAAAAAAAAAAAACAACCTATAAGTCTGTCTTTCTCTAACTGGACCATTCTGATTTAACTTCATTTTGAAAGTAGCTGAGGAGTATTAAGGACCCCAACACCATACACGCACCCTAAACTGTAGGAGTTAAGATGCATTGTATCACAAGGTTAATAACGGCTTGGCCTGGTTTGTGTGGTGGTGGCCCCTGAGCTGTCTGAATGCCCCAGAAGGTGACCTCCGTATGGGCAGTCCTGTGTGTTTGATGCCATGTGTGGAGCCCCAGGATGGTTACTCTCCTTCACACACCAGGTGCTTTCTAGACATCAGGGAGGTGATGCCGCCCTCCACTCTCTCTTTAGTGGTCCAGAAAAGGGTTTTCCCGTGGGTAAAACAAACCATTTCCGCCAAGCTGTGACCTTGAAAGAGTTATTTGACTTTCACTGGTCCTTGGTGACCTTGGTCAGGCTACTCAGTGACTGTATCTCAGATGTTTCAGCTCTCAGGTCTATAAAACGCTGGTGGCATCAGCACTGGTCTTGAGAATCAGTGATGAGGCCACTAGTAATGAGCTCAGCACCATCCTGAGGTTACAGAGGGGAAGTATGCACTAGTCTGAAAATGGGGGACCCACGGGCACAGAGGGAAGCTGGGTCCTGGAAGGGAAGGACACAAGTGATCTTCAGTACGAGCCGGGTCTCATTTCTGCCCCACTGACAACTTCACACGTAAGGCTGCCAGCTACATGGAGAATATCAAGGCTGCTCAGAGAACTAGCCCTGCTCTGGCTTCTCCAGGTTCCCACAGCTCTCACCATGACACCAGACCTCAGCAACTGCTCATTCTCACAAATCAACTGCTTTAGACCAAGACGCCATAGGCGCCTTCAAAAGAGGTCATCCGTTAAATTAATCACAGAGACTTTTGTTCATCTCGCTAATCAACGTGGGGTGCTAGGGAGGTGATGAACAATGAATGAGCCTGGGTCTCACTTCAGGAACTGAATCCCACTTGATCAGAGTTATCTGCGAAGGCCAGGTTAGTGGTGCCTGTGGAGAAAATGCTCACGCACCTGTCAGGGCATTCGGCCTCTTGAGCTTTTCTGAAATATCTATCCTTAGTTTTTCACCTGAAGTTGGAGGAATCTTTCCATTCCTGGGGTAAGGACACTCCCTCCTCACTTGGCCAAAGGAAGACCCTCCCAGACCTGTAGAAAGGGCTCTTGTATAAGATCCCTCTACAACCAGAGATCTCCTGGCAAATAAGAGGTTTGATGGCCTCTCTAGACTGAGATACAATCCCACTGCTTTCTAATCAAACACAGCATCGTGGGCTTCTTAGGACAGTGTGATTGTCACTTCCTTGTTGCCAGGAAAACTGAAGCCCGGAGGGACAAAGACTTACACTGACTCTAATAGTTAGACCGGCAGCCGGGATAGGAGCAACTCCATGGGTCAGCAGCCTTCTGCACGGTGCCAGAGAGGAATGTGGGGCTTGGGGTGGGGCTAAATTTTGAGAGGCAGAAAGCTGAGCGATCCATGAATCCCCAAGCTGCAGGTGTA